ATAAGATAAGAATTTGGTGGGAAAATATTCTGAGTACTTTAGAATGAGGATTTCTTGATGATAACTCAGGAATTTGATGGGAAAGTAGAAACGCACCAGAGCAAGGGTCCGATAGTGTTCAGTTAGGAATACAGTAAATTCTCTACAAGTGTCAATTAGTTTGGATTCTACAAGTGTCAGTCAGTTTGGATTCTACAAGTGTCAGTATAGATGGTCCTACACCTAGGTCTGCGTCATTGCTGCGCCTATGTTATCTCGCTCGCTGTCGGTCAAGCGTGTAACGCTACACCATTCGGTTTCTTTTACGAGATTTCACGGCTCAACAATTCATAATAGAAAAATATAATTTCTTTAATTTTACTTTTTTTCATCTGAAATTTTTTTTAACATGTTGGTGAGATTTTTCTGATGAAAATGATATCAAACACGATATAATTTGAACAACATCTACTTATTAATACTTATTGAGTAATTAATTTAATGTCGGCCTACCTCCACGTAAAAAAACTACGTTCGGCAAACTACAAGGCTCGAAAACGTAGTCCCTGACTCTACAAGTGTCAGATTTAGATTCCTTGCGGACTGACACTTGTGGAGAATTTACTGTATATGGAAATAAGGACCAGAATGCATTAGAGTCAGGGTTTAAACATCCCTTCGTCACGCTTGAAACTCTAGCATACTCTATCTTGTTATAAACATTCACACGAAACTTCAATTCCCACAATACTTTATATTATCATAAATAACATTGTAAACAAAGTACTAAATGTACAACATACCCGACGGAGTAGTTTATGCCGAAACAATTTTTTACATTTGGTAATTACACCTTGGTCCATGGGTTGGATTAGTGCAGACGTATTCGGTGGTAGAAATATCAATTTGAAATGTCCATCATCCAGTTCGTCTTCTCTGAGTTGGTGCCCCCAAAAATTGTCGACGAGCAGCAGTACTTTTCCTGTACGTTGATGCTGTAACTGTTGCTGTCTCACACTTTCCTTAAAATCAGTATTGTACCATTCCCGAAAAATGTCTTTGTCAACCCAAGCGTCACGCTGGATTTTATATGTCACGGGCAATATATCCCTGCAATGTTTCAATGCTCGGAGATTTGCAAATTTATGTACAAACAGTAGTGGCAACTTGTGCTTACCAGTTGCGTTTGCACATAATGCCACAGTCACTGTGTCTTTTTTCTCTTTTTTCCCATTCACATGTTTTTCCTTATGGATTAAAGTTTCTCGCGGAAGAAGTCTCCAAAATAATCTGGACTCGTCCATGTTATACAAATCTTCTTCGTTGACGTCTTCTTTTATCAGCAATCGTGAAAATTCACGTGCAAAATTGTTCGCAGAAACTTCGTTCGAATCTGCCGTCACAAGGCGTACATCGTATCTTTTCTTCCAATTACAGAGCCAACCCCGGCTTGCTCTAAAATTGGACACTTTACTGCCAAACTCTCCTTCCATTTCTTTTGCTTTCTCTATTAGAAGATTGTCTGTTAAGTAATCTCCTAATAATCTCCTTTGCACAAACCAATTGTACAATCTGCTCTCTAGATACGTATACGTCGATAACCGTTGCCTCTTCATATTCACGTGCTTCGGATTCGCCGCAAAGTGACGAATCGATTTCGAATTTTGCCGGTACCGTCGTATTGTCCTTTCACTGAGCCCATACTCGCAAGCAACATCACGCGTATTTGCACCACCTTCCAACTTTTCAATAATTTCTAGGCGTTTTGCCACGCTTATTTCTTTTGTACCAGAAGTGGATGCCATCGCGAACTTTTACGAAATTGTATCTGCACCGACTGCACGTTCAAGAAATTCTGTTCTTGTCGTTACCTGGAAGATGATAAGTCTGTTAGTAAATCTCCCTTCAAAATATCCTCGGGAGATTGAAATGCAAAACGAGGATTTGGAATTACAAATGCACCATTTTTTGGGGCGTTTCCGCCATTTTGCATCCGCCACGTCTAAGCCTACTACAGGTAGGGGAGACCGCGGGTGGTTAATTAGAAAATGTGGCAACCATCCTCGACCTCCCCTATGCAGTGCAAAAATGACGCACACGTGGGATATTTTAGAAAGCGGATCTCGACTGCAAGGCGTTCCACTTCCTGGGTTTACGATACGACGGTTACTATTGAATTGAATTCAGTTACAGTCAGAATTCGAAATTTTTCCTATTCATAAATGAATAAAATTGCAGTAACAATTTAGTACCTAAAAAATTGTTACAAGTCACGTCCGTGACATAAACCTTGAACCGCGTTCGAAAACTTAACGCCTGATCTTTCTGCCATTTTACTTGTCCCAACATCCAAACATGTTTATTTTAATAGTCTACCGACATTACGACCGCTTAATGGAGAAGAAACATTACTCGGGATTTCCTACAACTCTGCAGTTAGCTACCGCGACAATAAAGCACAATACTTATACCAATATTGCTATTCGTAATACTATTATTAGTTGGTCTAATATTGGTTCAAAAAATTGGATGTCTTAGCTAGACTTTAGATGTAGGAAAAAGAAACTAAATATTATAAAGGAACATCAATTAAATTAATAAATTTGTAAATAACACTCAAAGTCACTGATAAGATGCAGAAATATATTCTTTTTAGTGTATCAGTATACTTTATGGATCAAGTTAGTGCTGTTTCAAGTTTCAGAACGTAATTAAAGCTACTTCAGTCTATCTTCACTATCAGAGTATAAGAAAACTTATTGGAAATTCTTAATAGTAATCTTTCCTAACACGAATAATTCACAGGAATATTTATTGAATTCCATAAAGTTAATGCCTCACTAACTGCTGCAAAAAAGGAACAAAATCGCTTAAATCACATCACCCACAACTAAACCATCAACAAATGCTTAATAACAATCTCTTCTCACATGAATACTAATATTCATAATCACATTTATTGAATTCTATAAAATCTCCAACAAATCTTCATCAATTCTTCAGCAAATCCAGCAAATACTTTATGCTAACCTTTTCTCACAAGAAAACCAATATTCATAATCACATCTATTAAATTCACCAATTGTTACAAACGTCTAAAAGCACCAACAACCAAACCAAACCAAATCAAATCAAATCAAATCAAATCAAATCAAATCAAATCAAATGAAAAACAAAATTCTCAAGAAACCTTTCTTCCTCTTCCAGACCGAGTACAAGTACTGCTACGACCTAGTGCTCCACTACGTACTCCACTACCTAAATAAGGACATGAACGAGAAAAAGTGAGAAAGCGAGTTGAGGGACGAGCTGTGGTTCATCGAGTTCGGCCGCGGGGCAGCGTTACCTCTTACACCGGAGGAGGCTCCTGCGGACGGCGAGCCCATAGTGCCGTGCGCGCAGGGCCGCGTGATCGTGGAGACTGCTCGACCAGCACCTATTTATTTCGCTACGTGCACCAGCTATCGTCGGGCGGTGGTCAACACGCCGATCGACATGGCGGCGAGCGTCTCCGGGACCACGTCGTCGAGCGTCACGCTAATAAACCAACAGTCGATTGTTTCCAGCGGTAACAGGGCCGTCGTCGGCAGGAACCCGTTATTCCCGGCTCATAGTACCGCGGCCAGACCGGAAGACCTCGGCGTGACGCCCTGGTACCTCGAGGACTATCCCACGATAGACTCATCGCCGGGTCCAGGGGGCGATACGAGCTCGTATCCCTCGTACTTGCATGTGGATACGGAAATGAAGCCAGATGCGACGTCCACGAGGAACAGCAGCACCGACAGCGAGCTACCAAGACCTGCAACACTGAGTACAGCGCCTAGGAGAGCATGCATGGATTTGAGAGACGCAATCGCGCTTCTGGACGAGACCTGTCCCAATCAGGACCTCAGTCCATCCCTCACGCCGAGAACACCGAGAACTCCGCTCACGCCTCATCCGAGGAATAAACGAGCTAGATCGAAGAGCAGTGATAACTCGTCGAGTTATAGTAACGAACGTCTAAGTGATCGTTCGTTCGACAAGGACACGAAGGAGAAGAAAAGGCCGTTTTTGAAGAAGATAGGGATATCGAAGACAGAGGACAAGCCATTTTTAGCAAAACTCGCGCCTAAGATTATTGGTAAGCCTTATTTGGAGAAGATTGGACCTAGTAAGGCGGTAGAGAAGCCTTTCTTGGATAAGATTGGCTCCTCGAAGACGTTGGACAAGTTTACGTTCGATTTTCCGCGTTATGAAAGGAAGAGTGCTAAAAGTGAGACGTCGAAGGAGGAAACAATAGCAAAGAAGATTTCTGGAATAAAGAGATCAGAGGAGCAGAGGGTAGTTCAGAAGACTATAAAGCTAGAGCAGTCGTTTACTGTTGAGAGAAGGAAATCTGGTAAGGGTCCTTTGTTAAAGATGTACTCCTTCGAAACAGAGGATTTAGAATCGACGGTTCAGATGAAGGAACACAGGGATCCTCTCAGAGGAGCTTCTTTGGACGATGTTCTAGACTCAGGGCCTAGCTCTTTGCCATTAGAAACCACCACAACGGAGGATTCACCGAAGACAGACAGCAAAGACAGATCTACGAGTGGTGTTGAATTATTGAAGTGTCGTGTCACAACTAGTGAAGAGATCATCTTCTCCAGTACAAGCTTCAGCTCAGATAAGGAGCCCAACAGCTGGGGAAACTCTCCAAAGGGGAAATGGTCGCTGAAGAAGGACACTGCGACTCCAAGAACGCCTACGCATCGCAAGCTCACTCAGAGTTCTCACAAAGTCGAACATAGCGAAGATAGTGTCCCCAATTCACCAACGAAACGTCCCATTTCATCGATTCTACCTGGTCAAGAGGATTCACAAGCTGGTAGCTCTGAGAAGAACATTTATTCACCGATGAAAACCAGGAGGCAAACTTACGAGGACCTGCTGGACAGGAATGAGAAGAACCAAGAAGAGAAACCTAGCAAACAAACGCAATTCACGAGACGAGGTATCTCTTCGGATAATCTTCTATCAAAGGATCGTTCTGCTGCGTCTGTTGGGTACAAAGGAAAGGACCAAGTGGAGAAGACGAGAGAAGCTTTGTCAGAGGACTCCTTGGCGCAGCGAAGTGATCAAGAATACACTAGGGAAACGTTCAAACAGCTTCAGGATAAATTTAGGTACCACGAAATACCCACTGAGACCTATGCTGATTTCAGAAGACGGACAAGAGGCAACATTCAGAGCATCATTGGCAGGCAACAGGAACGATTAAAAGTGAGCAATACCGTGTCAGAAGAAACTTCCAAGAATTCTAAGTCAACAGAGGAAACATTTCAAACAATGAGTTCAACAGCTATAAGGATCGAGATAGATATAGATGAAAAAAGTGAAGGACGTGTCCCGGGAACAGTTAGGTCTGTGTTGAAGAAGCAGCAAGGAATCGACCACCCCAGTGACCAAGAATTTGATACAAACGCGTCCATAAGGCGACCAAAGAAAAGGATCTTTCATGAGCCATCTCAAGAGACCATGGACTTGTTAACTGAGCTGAGGAAGGTAAAAAGTCTTCTAAAGACTCCGTCGTGGGAGAAGGATCTAGAATTGGACAAGAAGCCAATCAGACAGCCGAAGCGTATTCTGTTAACTGACAAAGAGTTCTGTCTATCTGTTGAACGGGAGAATAGCATTCGTCGTTCATCTAAGGTAATCAATTCATTAGAGAAAACGAAAGAAGGATCTTCAGATGGAAAGCATGATGAGGAGAGAGGAGGAGAGGAATCTGAGAGGAAAATTCCTGGACCAGCTCTGTTCGAGAAAAAGTGTCTGTCGCTGGACTACGCCGACGACGAGAAACCACAGAAACCGGAAGCCAGGGCTATTTCTCTAGCTTCTGCCAGGAATTTACCCTCAGAGGCTGAGGAAACGGTCGATTACTCGGATTTAGCGTTAATCTACGACTCGAAGAGTTACTCGTCTGATGTGTTCAACATTCCATCTGACGAAGTGAACGAAAAGGAACGCAGTAACCTGTTGGAGAAAGAAGTTTTGAATAGAATGAGTCAAAATCATTGCACCGAAGTCGATATAGCTGTTCCTGTTGATCAAAAAGCGAGCAGCCCGAAGGCTAGGATTCAGATTCAGACCAGCGATCTCTATGAGATCATATCCCCTATATCAACGCCCTTCCGAGTGAAGAAACGGCTCGGTAAGATCTCCATCGAGGAGACAGTCAAACCGGAGAGTTTCACCCTAGGTTCTAAGGTCGACTGCCGATCTACCGTTACCCAGAAACGGACCAAGTGCTTCCCTTTATAACGCACGCCGACCTGCCACTGGGCGAAACGCTCTCTGTGACGACATGTCCTGTGTTTGCGTTCACTCTGAAGGAGATTTGAGGCGAGTGTAAAGGGCCCCATATGTGTTGAGACCTTTGTCGATACGTGTTGAAAGTATCAGTATCAGCTGGTATCTATCGTCGTCTGTATTACTATCATGAAACGTCGATATTTCGAACGTGCAACTGATACAAATATAGATACGTTAGGGTGGTCCTTAGTTATAGGTGACGAACAATTTTTTGTCTAATTTGTTAGTCTCACCCCTTAGATTCTAATCCATAAAAAAATCATTTTTACGGATGACCAGAAAACGTGCCCCTGAAGCTTTACTAATTCATCAAGTAGTTGTTTTGTTCATATTCTTTTTTAAGGCTTTTCCTTCTTTAAAGATTCTGAGAATGCTACTGTAATTGCTATAAATATAGGTTTAAAAGGAAACATTTCAGTTATTGTGTTTTGAACTGAATTCATGTATCGTGACTCTGTCTCACCGTGTATATGATGTTTGATACTTGACACAAAATCTCAGACATATCTATCGCAATCTGTATCTATACATATATCAATACAGATCTGAACGTGTGTGGGGCCCTTAACGGCAATTTTATTGGTCGTATGGTTTAACTCTTCTGAGGGGGGTGTGGATGGCGTTAAGTATCATTCAAAGAATGATTTGTTGCTGCATAGGGTTGGTGTATAGATAGAAAGTAGGATGATTGTAGCTTGTTAGGAATCAGTTGATCAGTCAAGGTCATTGCCTCCATGTTTTTCTTAGAGCAGTGATGAACAACCTTTTCTGCTTGCCTAATTTATTAATTTAAAAAAATTCTTAATATATAGGGTAGAATTTTTTATTTTCAACATAGGTAACAATGAATACAGTTTTCTTTTATTTTATTTTCTGAAAGTTTTCAAAACGATACTATTACTTATGTCATATTATCTATACCATACGGTATTTCGAAAATTATTTCGTAAATTCATATATTTATAGTGCTAAACGCAAAAATTGTTCGCTTTGGCTGATTAACGTGGCTCGCATATACAACTTTTGCCTCCTCTAGAAGTTTTACTTGTACTTTGGAATTACTGTAAGAAAGTAATTTAAAAAGAAAAAAATATATATAATTAGGTGCTCAGGTTTTCCTACTTTTTCAAATTAAGATTTTTTGAGAGTAGATAAAATTTAATGAGAAATTGTAGAAACATTTCAAAGTCAGAAGAGTTAACATGGCCTGGTTTACTGCCATTTACTGCCTTTACCTTCGACCTTGATTTCTATCAGGGTGAAAATGACAACCAACATTTTCACGTTGCTCTTGGGGATAACCATATTACGCATTCTTTCTCGTTTTAATTCAATTCTTATTTATTTCTTATTGGCGAGAACACACGAAAACCTCTTTCAAAATTTTCACACTTTAATCGATACATTTCCATAGTCACTCGTGAACAATCAAAACGCGACCGAAAGATCACAATTTTTTACTAAATGGAAACTACTAAAGAGAATTCATCTGAATCTTTAACTTTCGGTAGATTTACGATTTGAAACGTTCAACTTCTTCAAAATCCAACAAGTTGCCGCGTTCCAAAATGGAGGGAACAAGGTTCCCTCAAGCTCGAGAGTCGTCAGTGCTTCACGCTCGCACAGATAATATTCTAAAACGCGTCCCGACCATTTTTTACCCGACGTTTCGCGATAGGAAACGGCTCGAAGAAGCTCGACAGATCGAGGCGAACCTTCCAGACGGAATATGTAGTATACTCGAAACATCCGACAACGACGTAACGGTGTCGCGCGCACACTTCCGCCTGTCGAGCAGTGCCTTGTTCGTGGATATATTTATTTAGACAAAAAGAGAAAAACCAAAAAAACGAAGGAAATTAAGCGAGAGAATGCAAAAAATCCTATCGAACAATATTTAAGTAAAAACGTAAAAAAAAAGAAAAAAAACAAAAAATATATTCCGACTGCGGGCCGGATTTTCAATGAATGGGTCCACGGAGTTGCGCTTTCGACCATGCGAACAATAACTCTTCTTCGACGCTCCTCTGCGAACAATTGTTTCACTCGAACCTGCAGAATCGACGACACGTGTATGTAATCGAGGAAACAAAACGATGCAACACGCGTTTTTCACTCGTTCGACGCTTCACGATCCGCCATATTTCTCCGTCGGTCATCTGACATGTCAGCGCCATCGTACGTCCCTCGTGGGACTTAATTTCCATGTTTCGCATTATTTTACATTTTGAAGGGAAATTTGGAAAACTAGGAAAAATCCTCGAACCGGACATTCACATAGGTGAAAGAGACGATCGTGAACGAAAAGAGACTGAAAAACTCGGACGAGAGTGCAACTCCCACGCTTGCCAAGCCTATTTCCTGTTCGGCGAAGCGCGTGACGTTTTAACGACACAAAAAACCGTAATTATATTGTATCGTATTGTATCGGAGAATAACAGATTGTTACGTTCCTCTTATAATTTTTTAGAGGTAAATAGAGCCGACAACGCATTCAATGAAATAATACGGAAAGTAAAGAGTAAATGTAGATAGATATA